ACATACTGTATTTATAATTGAACACAGCTTTTTATATAATTACATCTTTGTGCACTTTTTATTTTTGGTTCTTGAACATAGTCACTCAGATGAAATTAAAGAGCGTGCAGGAGAAGGTGCTTCAGTGCTGTTTCAAGTTTCTATGGCAACTCAGGGGCATCTTATTCATCTGCCTCATTGACTGTGATACTGGTTACGACTTTTAGCTGCCTCTTCTAGACGAGGCAGCGAGTTGTGCTTGCTGATCTCACGGCCACCAGAAAATGTACACTGGGAGCAAAGCAAGCCTCTGACATGTTTATTCAGCCTTTCCTCACCTGGCTAAGAGCGGGTGCCATCTGAGACTGCTTTTGCCAAGAGTGTGCTGCTCACGATGTGTATAAACTTGCCTTTGAAATGTCTCTATTGGTAAATAATGTGTTTATATAAGTAGGTTTTTGATGGAGCTAACTACATATTTTAAAATAAACTCCTACATACTATTTTGTGAGATTCTCTCTGTAAGAACATCCACATTTAAAAAAAAAATGCTTAGCTGAGGTTTCAAATAAAGAACTGTCTTAGGAAAAAAAATGTGAAAAAGCAAAGGCAAGCAAAATCCATAAAATGGGAGAACTTGTTTCATTTGTTTGTTACACAAATAGAGACCCATGTGCTTACTCAAAAAAGGCCATTTGTCCCTCCCCTTGGAGAACAGGAACAGAGGTGATCACAGCAGAACCTAAACTCTGAACTAGCATTAGAATGGAGAAAAGTAAGAATATGTCCATAGGAACATAGTCCTCCAAAAACCCACCTAAAATCTGAGCATGAACAATTTGGGCTGAGCAATACAAAGAACTGACTATTTGTCATCTTAAAAGCATTTGTGCACAATATGTGTGTGTGTGTGTGTGTGTGCACATTCGTGTTTGTGAGTGCAGGTACAGACATATCATTGTGCGTGTCTCGAAATAAGAAGACAACCTCGGGTGTTGGTCCTCGCCGCCCACCTTGTCTGAGACTGTGCCTGTTCTGTTTGCAACTGTGTTGTGTACACGAGGCTTGTCGATCTGAAGAGTCACAAGGAGTTTCATGTCTCCATCTTCCACATCTCTATAGGAATTCTGTGAATACAGAAGTTTGTGCTAAGAGTCTGTCTTCTCTGTGGGGTCTTGGGATTAGAACTCAGGTCCTTGTCCTTATGCTTTTGCCCACTGAAGCATCTCCTTACTTCAATAATTGTCATCTTAACTTTGTCACATTATCCAGGTTCTTGATTTCTTTTCATGATAGTAAATTTTGGCAGGTTTTTTTAAAGATAGCACGCATTTAAAAGATGTGCTCTATAAGAAAAACGATCCCCAGTACATTGTTGCAGAAATACCTTGACTCTACAGGGTGAGAACCCTTAAAAACCCTCAACTTATAAGTGAATGCTTTTAAATATGGAAGGTAAGAGTTGTAGGTCCACCTCCATGGGACCCAATAAGTGGTAATTTCTGAGTAATTATTACTTACTGTCATATGTATACTTTTTATTTCTAAACCCAGCTATGTTCCCAAATTTAAAGCAAAGCAAAGTCATACCGACCACTTACCAAATGATAATATATCAACATCAAATACAATGTAGAAAACTTTAAGTACCCAGAACTGTACAATAACTCCTCCTTTGGACTTGATTGAATAGAACTTTCCAGAAATCAAACTTCTGAACAGCCTCAGAATAGAACCCCCAACCTGAAGTAAAAAGTAGCTTCAATCACACGCCTAGTTGTATGAGCCTGAAATTCCAGTGACTCTCAAGACTTAAACAGAAAGAATATAAATTTAAGGACAACCCGGGCAACTTTCTAAAAGCCTGTCTCAAGTTTAAAAGGGTGAATAAGGATGAAATTTAGTTCAGTGGTAGACTGCTTGCCTGCTATGAACAAGACCCTGGATTCAGTCTCCAGCACCATAAAGGAAAAAAAAATGGACAGGGTGATGATGAGAAGGGAAAGTGAAGAAGAGGAAAATAAAAGATCTATGAAGATAATTAAAACCATCTCAAATCCCCGTTGAAACAGATCTTTCAGGTTTTAGCTGGACGTCATGACTTGTGTGTTATTGTTGCTACTCTAACAGCGCTTCCTGATAACCTTAACCTATACAATATGCAAAGGGATTTATAACACCTATGACATTATTTTTATATCATTATTATGACATACGTCATATTATAATTATAATATCTATGACATGATAGGGTATTAACTTGTTTTCCTCGATCCATAAGATCAGAAGCAAAGCCTGAATTATGCTTAGGAGGCTTCTGCCAGACAAAAGAGCAGGTGATGGTTTCACAACAAAAAAGACATGTAGTAGCACAGAAGCCACCATGAAAAAAAAGGTCCACAGTATCTTCAGTAACCCAAGGAAATGTTAAATAACATATGTCATTATTTTTAACCAGGAAGAGAATTAAAACATAAGAAAATCATTCCTCCAAACAATGAACATCCCCGAGGCTAGACATTTTAGTTACTCGGAGAGAGCTACTTATGTGTAATTAATTATTCACCATTATTATCCTCGGGATTTGGTAACTCTCCTGTGCTGGAGCTGGTTCACCTGGCTGAATCTCTTCCACATTCTTCTCAACTATCCTATTTTCTCACTCTTCCTCATCTCCAGCTTCCAAACCGCCCCAGCTGGCCCCTCCCACTTCTCAAGAAACACTCATCACCTTAGCTCTGAAAGCCCAGCACCCTGAGAATCCATCACCTTATTTCAGTGATAAATACTGTGATAATTTCAGTCCAACTTTATCTTAAAGGGATTAGCTCTTGGTGGTGCAAACTGTTTTTTAAAAAGTCCTTCACGACAAAGCCCAGACAGAGGTTTGAGTCGTGTCATGGGACCACTAGGCTTACTGACAAAAGTGACCTGACCTGGAAAGTTCAAACCTCCTGCATTGTAGGCTCCTTGTGTGGGACTGGTGTTCTCTCTGTGTGTTGACCTATATTAAGCTTTACACAAAAAAACCCCAGTTGATTTAATCGATTTCTCTAGCGCTAAAGTTGAGATCTTCTAGAATAAAACACGTCCTCCTTCATAAATATTATTCAAGGAGCTGTGGTTCAACAAAATCTCTCTGAAATTCACCTCGGACGTGTATTTATGGATGTTGTTATATGTAATACTTGAATGTGTACAAAGATGTACACATCTGTGTGTGCATACAGATAAAGGAATGAATGAGTAGCAGCAGAGGTGGGGGTCTTCATTGCATCCATCCTGGCTTTCTCCTGGCACGCTCTGCTTGCTCCTCTGAACCACAAGACGCTTGTTACCCTCTGGCTGCCCACAACAGAGGAAAGCAGACATGTTTAAGGTGGTTAGGTACCCGCGGTTTGGTGAACGGCAGCAGAACTTCTGTGGTTTTGCCTGGAGACAAGCCTGAGCTATTTGGAGTTAACTGAAATGAATCTGAAGTCTGAAGTGAATGCACATCACAGAATTGCTGTTTACACATTCGGTGAGTCTACCTTCTGTAAGTGACCCCTCCTCCCTGGCTGTCCAGCTCATAAAGGAGGGGTTGAGAAACAAGTTTATAATATGGCTCCAATTCCTATCCAGCCTTTGTTTCTGGGCGTTGTGTGTGTGTGTGTGTGTGTGTGTGTGTGTGTGTGTGTGTGTGTGTGTG